CTGAATCAAGGGACGTGCCTGAGTTGCAACAGAGTCTGTCGATCCCAGATCGGGCTCGTCAGCCACCTTTGGACCCTTGGTAGCACCGTCAAGGGCATTCCCGGCATGCAGCTTGCTCGATCGCTTTGGAGATGTCCGAGCCTGCTTGTCGGATGTGCTGAGCTGTGGCTGAAATGAAAGTCGGGGGGAATCGGCGCCTCTGGGACTCAGACCCTAGCTATCGAGCGGCGGTGACCCCAAACAGGAGGACCACTTCGGAAGCTGCACCTGAATGGCCTGCAGCATGCCCAGGTGCTGAGGCCCAGCACTTGGATGGCAGCGGCATCCACGGTCTGTCCTCCGGACAGGGGCGGGAGCAGCTGGGCCAGGGCTTTCCCAGCATGGTGCAAAAGCACAGGGCACCTGCGGGTCTCGCACGGCGCCAAGTGGCTCTCCAGCCTCTCCACTTTTGTACCACAGCTCAGTCAATCCCTCGCTGCACCAGCTGCAAAGAAAACCTCGCCCGGGGGGAAACCTCATTGCAGCTGCATGGCCAGGGCTGTGCAGGGAAGCCCGAAGAGCAGCTCTGAGATCTGCCGCCCGCATCTCGACGCGCTGCGGAGGGGGTGGAGAAGAGCTGCGACAGAGGGTCTGGGGGCTGTGGGGAGAGGCAGAGTCGTGCAGCCCAAGGAGAGAATGGGATGGCATTTAAGCCCCCACGTCTGGGAGAAAACGCCAGGGCGGGGTGGTCTTGCTGAGAAGGAGAACTGGAATCTGAAACCAGACACATTCAAATGAGGACTGCGGTGGAGAGCCAGAGTTGAGATGACGCTTCCCTGGGGAAGGGGGGTGGTTCTCACACCCCTGCTGTCCTCTGCACGATGGGCCCATGGGGGAGGCAGGCGTTTGGGCTCAGTTCGGGAGAAGCAGGAGGGTGTTTCTGACCTGCTTCACGTGGGAGGCTTGTCGAGCGCGTGCCATGGCCCTTGCTGGCCTCAAAAGCTCAGAATAATTCAGAGGGTGCCTGTGTGAAGAGCTCCCCATGCCAGAAGGACGAGCACAATTCAGTGCCCGTCGTGGCTCGCAGGGGCAGGGTGGTGTTGGGGAGCTGGTCTCCCCACCTCACTCAGCACTGAGACCACTCAGAGATGCCCCCCACAGCAGCACCAAGCTGCCAGCCACGCTGCAAAGCTCCTAAAGCCACTGGGGCCATCCACCAGCAGCCACGTGGAGCCCCAGATGCAGCACAGATGGCCCGCGTGGCGCTTGGGGATGCCGTGCCATGGGCTCTGCACCCGGTGCGAGGGATTCAGAGAGGAGGAGGAGGGCAGGCGGAGGCAGGCTGGCACGCGGCGGCGCCGGCTGGAAAGAAACCAAGTTACCAGCTGCGCGGAGCGGCGTCCGCAGCCGCAGGTCAGTGACGGAGGAGCGGTGCCTGGCATCACAACTGGCGCGTGCAGAGCGAGGCAGCCCGCGCACAGCTGCTTGCCGAGCTGGCAGATGCGCCCGACGTGCCGTGTGTGTGCAAACAGAGGCCGCGTCTCCTGAGCGCGGGGCCTTGCCAACTCCATCCTCATCGGGCTTCCTCTCTTCCCCCATCGGGGCAAGGGGGCCATGCCAGCCATGCTTCCTCCTCGCCAAGGGGGGTTCATTTCCCCTCTTATCCCCCTTGCTGGAGCATTCGCCCCGACACTCACCCCCGCCACAAGAGAGACTTTCGCTCCCTGTACTGACCCAGAGATGCCATTGCCGTTGCGCTCCTTCGATCCCCGTCCTTGGCTCTGGGGAGCTCAACACGGGCCTCCTGCCATGTGCAGGGGTGATGTCTTCTACTCGACCTGGCCCCTGAGCCATCCTTGCACCCAGGACCGTGCGCAAGCCACTGCCCATCGCCAGTGCCTGGGGGATCTCCAGGCCTCCCGGGGACCTGAATGCAGGGCTCTGCTCAGCCCTGCATCAGACAGGTGCCCGGTACAGGCAAGGACGCTTCTCCAGGAGACATTTCCCTCCTTTGCTACTTTACATGTGGCACGCCACCGGCATGCGTGCACACGCGTGCACATGCCTGCATGCACACCGACCCCCGTGCAAGACAAAGGTAAAATTAGCTTGGCGAGGAATAATGCCGCGATGTGTTTGTCACTGGGGAGACATAACATTTCAATCACACGTCACCGGCGTCGGCAGGAGCTGCCAAAGCCCCGAGCGCCTCTTCTGCATCGCTTGGCACTGAATATTGAGGAGCTGGCGCGCTGGCTTTTCCTGCCCCGGTCCAGGCAGCCGCGAAACGCAGCGAGCTCTGGAAGCAGCTTCCACCGAAACAGCCTGGGGTTTCCGTGCCTGCGTCCGGGCTCTGCATCTTCCTGTTGCAGAAATGCCTTCCCATGGTCTCAGGCTGGCAGGCCTGGCAATAGGGCATGGGGGGAATCAGGAGGTATAGGTTCATGCAATCACCTCTGTGTCCCATCATGGGCTGCGGGGAGCCCGGTGCCCTGTTGAAAGAGTCTGTGCCCCGGATGGAGAGAGTGGAGACAGAGGCCCCGAAAGCAAGGCTAGAGAGGGGCTGGGATCTCAGCTCTTCCAGCCTGCTGGCCACGGGCCTGTGGGTCCCTCTCTCTGCTCAGGTTTGCCCCCCTTGCCCATCCAGACCCTCCTGCTCTGCAACCCATGCCCAGCTCAGACCCCTGCGCGTTGCTCCCAGGAGCCTTCCCAACCCCTCGGCCATGAGCTGGACCGCTCCCCAGCCCCGGCCTCAGTCCTCCACCCTCGCTTTCCCCTGGGGATGGGGACTTGGGTGGGGGCAGCTGTGCTGGGCTATCTGTTCCCACAGGTGCTGCCTCTGCCTTGCGGGCCCCTCTGCCCATGCCGGACAAGAGGGAGCCCATCGCTCCAGGGGGGCCCGGGTTGCAAGTCGCAGCGTAAGGTGGGCAGCTGGGAGCAGCTCCACGCAGGGCCCGGCGGAGAACCCGGGCTGCTATTTCTGGCAGATCTTGCTGCTGATTTGCATTCGATGTTCTCATGATGTGGTGGGTGGCAGCGCGGGCAGGGGCTGCTTTCCGGGGCCAGGGCCCCGTGCCACGCCGTGATGCCGTCCTCCACCCGAGTGCGGGCTTCCCACTGCCTGCACCAAGGCACGTGGGAGCAAGCTCGGAGCACCGCGGAGCATCGCTGCCCCCCTCCAGGTGGGGAAGCCAAGGCAGAGGATGCCTGGGTTGGCCCGGTTGCATCGGTTGGAGCTCGGGACCCCCAACCAGTACACCCCCCAGACCCCGATAGACCCACCAGGGATCGGGTGCAAGGAGACTTAGCGACCCGTGTCCAAGACTGCTCCAGCCCTGCTCCACAGCTGCTAGACAGCAACCAGGCCTCAAGGGGGGACTCCGTGGCCGGGGGGGTTCCCAGCTGCATGCGAGTCACGGCTGGGTGGCCAGGAGGGGAGCCAGGCCTGGGGACCCAGCCGGGCACGGCGAGGACGGGGAACTGGGCTGTGGGCGGCTCGTGCTGGGGGTTTACCTGTGGCCGGCTCTGCCCCAGCCCAGCCCATGAGGCTAAAGATGGGAGGCAGACGTGGGCGTCAGAAGCTCCTGGCCTGCCTGGGGGATTTGAGACGTGCCCCTGAGCTCCTGGGAGCTTGCTCCAGGTGCCCCCAAATGAAGGGGCAGTGTGACACAGCCCTGCCCTGGCGGCTGGCATCTCTGCCCAGCAGCGGGCAGCTCGTGCCGGCGTGGGAGAGGTGGGCTAGCTGGATGGGCGCTGGACCAGGTTGGAGGGGGGCAGAGGCAGCCCCGGAGCAAACAGGGCAAGGAAAGGACGGCCAAGGGCACCCTCCGCCTGGCAGCACCCACCTCCACCTGTTTGCTTTCCCCCCTGCACAGCCAGCGCAGCTCGGGGCCTCTCCTAGGCTGGCTTCCCCCGGAGCAGAAGGGCCAGCCCTGGGGGTGGGATCCAGCACGGCCCCCTGCCCGGGTCTCACTGGCGTGCCCCCGGTGCCCGCTGCTTTGCCGGCAGAAGGCCAGGCGGATGGGGGGACACTGGCCGGCGTCACGAGGCCGCGGCGCCCTGCCCAGCTTCCGCTCTCCACCCTGCCAGGCCCGCAGCGGTTCCTCATTCGAAGGGCAGAGGGGCGGACGCGCGGGGCTGCAGCGAGTGGAAACGCACCTGGCGGGGTGGGTGGGGAGTCGCCCACGGGCTCCCTGCCTCACGCACCGCTGAGCCCAGTGGAAAAACAGGCCTCCTGGCCCAGGGGCCGAGAGTGGGCAGCTTGGCATGGGGGGCGGGGGGCGATGCCAGGCAGGGGCCAGCCCCCCAGAGCTCACTGCCCCCACCGGCCTGCGCTGGCCCGGAGCAGTGGCTGGCACACCTGCCCACCCGGCGCTGCAATGCGGCTGGCTCTGGGGAGGAGCGGTCCAGGAGCAGCAGCATAGGGAGCACTTTGCAAGGATGCTTTCAGCTCTGCTGGGGGCAGGAGGCCGCAGGGATGGGCTCGCAGGGAGGATCCATGCCCCTGGATCATGCCCTGAGCTCCCTGCCATCACTTAAAAGCTGCCTGGTCCTCGGTGCTGGGAGGAGGGTCTGGCTTGCCCACCTGCCCCATGTGCCAGCCCTGGCAGCATCTTGGCGGGGGGCAGGCACGCGGGGCCGGAGAGCTGCCACAGCCCCGTGCCCTTGAGCACCCGGCTCCGCATCCCCCGGGCATGGAGGATGCCGGGGGTGCCCCATTCGGTGCGGTGCAGACCTTTGTTCCCTGCCCCTTGTCGGAGGGAAGGAAGCTGCCTCTCTCCAGATGGTGCCAGGCTGGAAAGCGGCTCGGGGAGGGGGGTTATAATTTATTCAGCATCGGCGCTGTGTCAGCATTTTGCGGCGGGGGGTGATGCACGGAGCCGGCCCCACGCTGAGGCCTGGACCGCTGTTCCGGGGGGGAAGGCAGTTTTGGGGGGTTTCCAGGTCGGCGGCTCTGGCGGCACTGATGGCAGGAGCCGGCCGGCCCCCGCCGCGGCGCTGGGGAACAAGGCGTGTGACATATGGCGCTGCCTGCGCCTGCTGCAAAAGGCACCTTGGAAAGCGGGGAGCCTCTCCTGGGAGTGCCCCCGGCTCTGCCCGAGGCAGAGATGGACGCCGGCCTTGCCGTGCCGTGCCGTGCCATCTCTCGCAGGGCGCTCACCGGCGCCGAGCGCGGGTGCATCCGGGACCTGCAGGGCAAGGCCCTCTGCCCTGCAAGAAGCCGGGCGGTCTCCATCCACCGCCGTCACCCAGAGTCGTACATCACCCGCTGCAGCGGGCCTCTCTGCTCATCTCCCGGCCCCGGAGCCTGGCTCCCAGGACAGATGCCCGGTGTGGGGGGCACTCAGACCTGCGGCAGGGCCGTTAAGGGCTCCCCACCACGGCACAGTTGCCCCCTAGGAGGCTTGTTGCCCCTTCCCCGAAGCCCCTGGATGCCAGCTGGAGACTGGAGATGCAGCGTTAGGTGCCGCAGGGCTGGGCAGGATGGGACCTGGCTGGTCTGAACCATCCCCTGGCCCTGGTCCTTTCTGGAGGGCCTCACAGAGACCAGCGGGGCAGGTGCCAGGCTGGCGCAGGGGCCGGACCCGGGTCTCTCTGCCGCTGCCCCTGGAAGCTCGCAGATTAATTATGGATGGAGCAGGAAGCTGTCGTCCCGCTGGAGCTGCCTGTGGGTGGCATTTATGAAAGAAAAAGGCATCGTGGCTGTGGCACGAGCCCGGCGGCTGCTGGGGGAGCTCGGGGCGTGGGGAGCATGGCCGGGGCACGGCTATCCTGGGGCCCAGCAAGGAGGGCTGCGGTGCCCCCCATCGGCACAGCTACCCCTGGGCAGAGGAGGGCACGTGGTCCAGGGGAAGGCTCTTGAGCATGGTACGACAGCAGCTATCCGCCTCCTCATGGGGTGTGCACATGTGTGCATGGGTACGTGCGTGTGCGTGTGCATGCGCGGGGCAGTTTCCAGGGCCAGGGGCTTTCTCACCAGCCTGACGAAAAATCCTAACGGCGCGCGTGGCTTAGACCGGCACCCTCTTTGCACCCGAGCCCCCAAAGGTCCAGGCTGGCAGAGAAGAGCCAGACCCATGGCTGTGACCCCCATGAAGAACGGGGCTTATCGGCCCGTGCCGGATGCCTGGGGTTGCCTCTGCCAGGGGGTGGGCACAGGGCTTTGCGGGGCTTTCCCGGGCGCTGGCACAAGGCTTCGATCGCTGGGTGCGCAGCTGGGTGCAGCAAGGCACTCCCTTCGCTGGACCCCCGCAGCGAAAGCCCCATCCGCCCACGAGCCCAGGTCAGCTGCACGGCAGCCCCCCCGCACGGGCACTGCCGTTTGCCGAACGCAGCAGGTGCCTCTCTGCTTCCGCCAGATAAGGAGAGCGCGCCCGCAACCCGGGGACCCCGCGCCCGCGAGGCAGGAAGAGGCAGGGGGGTAGCTGCTACGCGGGGGCAGATGGGGGCTGCGGCCAGGTGCGATGCGGGGGCAGATGGAGGCTGCAAAGGCCTCGGCGCAAGCGGTGCCTGCCTGGAGCTAATGGGCAGCAGATGTGGCAGGGGTCTCTACGAGTGACCACGGGGCCTGCATGTCCCTGCAAAGTCCCACCTCGAGCCCCCTGCCATCGGCCCAGGGTTCGCTGCAGCTCGGGTGCAGCAGGGCGATGCCGGCAGGCCCCTGAGGCTGCCCTGGCTGCCGATGGGCACTGCGCGCCAGGCTTGAGGAGGGCAAAGCAGATCCAGGGCTCCTTCCTCCAACCTCCTCTGAGCGCAGAGCACCCCTCTGCCCCGTCCCCATCGGAGCAGCCTGGCAGGCGCAGCGCCTGCCTCCCGCGTGCCCATGGCCCCAGGGCTCGGGCACTGCAAAAAGCAAGGGGAAGGGAAACATCTGATCAGTGCATCTGCTGGGGACGGTCTCGTTCCCCCCTTCCCCAGACCAGAGCCTCCCCCCACCGCCGTCCCCAGGGACGGGAACCACGCGGATGTCAACGAGGGCCCCGGCTCCGCCGCACGTGGCTTGAAGTGCTACCCAAGTGCCTCCTGCCGAGAAGATAAGTGCAAAATCGCCCCATTAGTGTAATTGTGCAGAAGGACGGTTGATGGAGAAGAGCGCCTTGCTCACATCAATGGCACGCACGTGCCCGCACTGTCCAGCTCTGGGCACCGCATGGGGGGTGTCGGGGGGCCGTGGCCGGGAGCTACATGGAGCCAAGGGAAAATGCCGGGGACAGAGCGACTGTCGTCTCTTGTGCCTTACCTCTTGCATCTAGCACAGGAGGGATGTTTGCTGGACCCGGATCTGACACGGGCCCAGTGAGTCGGAAGCACCAAGCCAGGCGGGCGGCAGAGCTGCTGGAAAGACAAGGGGGTACGAAGGGTCTTCACCCCCAGCAACGGACCAGCATGAGCAAAGAGGGCGACAAATGATTAGAGTGGCCCGGGGGGTGAGGACAGTCTCGGGGCTAGGAATATCTTGGTGAAGGCCTGCAGGGGAGAGGGACCCCGGAGCTCAGCTGCCCCGCGCGTCTGAGGCAGGGCCGCCACGTGGGGATGCAAAGAGCAGCCAGGCCGAGCCGGGGGCAGCCGCCCCGCTTTACCCCGCAAGGAGCTGGGGGCCGGGAGCACCCAGGAAGGCTGGGCCGGGGGTGACGCACGGTGGCATCGGCCTGCTAAACCCCAGTGGTGGGAAGCACCTGAGCTGTCCGAAGAGAGGACACAAGGCCCCTGGACAAGAGCGCGGGCTGCTGCTGGAGCAGCAGAGGAGCAGCCAAGGCCGTGGCCGCGGGTGGGAAAAGTGGGGAGATAGCTGGGAGCGGCTGCGGGGCAGCCACGGGAGCAGGAGCGAACCCCTGCCTGCAGCCCCTCTCCTCCCATCCTTCCCCTCCTCCTGCCAGACCCGACCCTCATAGCCTTGGGCACCAGCTGGCCCTGCAGGCTGCGGTGGGGCCGCGCTGCCCGTCTGCCAGGTGCATTATGGGCATCTCTCCCTCGCCTCGGAAGCAACAGATGCTGGAGGGACCAGGGCCCCTGCCAAGGTGCGGAGAAGACCTCCCGGGACCCCCCTGAGAGGCTGAGCGGGCGAGGCCGCCCCTCCCATGCTACGTCCCCCCTGGTTGCCCCCTGCCCAGGTGGCCAGGCCTCTTGCCCAGCTGGCGCGGGGCAGGAGGCTGCACAAGGGGGGTGCCCGGGGGAGCTCCTGTTGCAACGCATCAAGACCCAGGCGCCTGCGTGGACGGAGCACGCGATGAGGCTGCGGTTCCCGGAGATCTTTCCGCCTTGCGGCACGGCACCGGGGAGGGGGCACGCGGAGGCAGAGCCAGCGCTCGCCGTGACGTGGCGCGAAGGCAGCCAGGCTCCCACGGCCCCCAGGATGGGGGAGCGGACCGGGGCAAGGAGAAACGACGGACCCCTGGCAGAGCCCCCCGTGCCCGTCGCTCCGGGAACACGCTGCCTGAATTTTTTGGCACGCGCGCGACAAAGCGGCGGAGGCACCGGGGTGCAGGCGCTCCGTGCCGGAGCCTTGGCGCAGCCCCTCCGGCCCCATCCCCGTGCCAAGGCTCGCTGCCGACAGAAGGGCTGCTGGCACGTCGTCGGGGCTGGGTTTTGTGTGTGTTTTTTTTTTTCAAAGTGTGGCTACAATCAGCTGCTGAGAGGCTCCCCACTCCGGCGCAGTCTCTGCCAATTTCTCTGCGAGCTGGCACGGGCGCGCGGCTCCGGGGGCACCGCGAGGAAGAGGCTGGGGAGGAGGACGGCTTGCGAAGGGGAGAGAAATGGACACATGCCATCGGCGGAGAACGCCAGCAGGCAGCATGGGGCCAAAACGAGAGCGCGCGCAAGAGAAAGAGAGAGAGGAGGAGAAGCTGGCAGCCCGTCTTGAAGCAGGCAGCGGCTGAGTTGGCAGAGGTGCCATGGAGGACGGGCTGCAGAGAGCAGGCGGCGCGGGAGGCACAGACGGACAGACTGGCGCAGGTAGCGGCCGGTGAGCCCGGAGAGGAGCAAGGTACTTGCCTTCTTTTTAAGCAACCCCCCAGCCCCGGTGTTTGCGGCGGGTGGCGCGGCTGCATGCATCTCTGGGCGGGAGCCGGGCACACAGCGGGCATAAGCGTGCAACGGCACACCGCGGTGCAAGGCATGTTGGGGCATGTGCGGGTGCACGGCCGCGTGGCTCTGCCACCGGACCTTTTCTGCCGCCCGTTTCTCTGAGCCTCGCCCCGGAGAGCCTGGCTGATTCCCGGGCATGTGGCAGGTCCTCAGCAGATGCAGCAGGACGGGGCCTGCGTGCCCTGGGTGCCTCATAACGGCGTTTCGGGGAGGGATGTCATGTGTGGAGACTCGAAGCAGACGTTGCGGGCTGGAGGCAGCTCCGGGGCAGGTGCCAGCTCCAGTGCGGGGTCTTGTAGCTCGTCTTCAACTTTGGCTGGTTTGCAGCAAGGCAACGGGGCCGGCCGATGGAGCCATGCCCCGTAGTGATGGGTGCCCCTATACAGCCCAGCACTGCCCACCGAGCCGCTGCGCTTCAAGGTTTTGCACCTCGGCTTTCTGTGTTGTGGGGGAAAAAGCCTGAGACCGGGGCAGAAAACCAGGATTTCCATGTCTAGCCCCTGTCCCAGAACCCAGCGGTGCTGGGTGGCGAGAGCAGGGGGCCGTGGGGAGCAAGGAGACAGGAGCCCTCCCCGGAGCCGGTGTATTTATCGAGTTGGAGCTGCAGCCAAGTGCAGTGGGCATGGAAACGGGGCGCTTTCAATAGCCATCCTGGCAACAGGCTCAGCCCAGCCCGGCAGAGAAGCGCCTGCCCCGCTTGCCCGGCCTGGCTCGGTTGCAGAGGGAAGCAGGGGCTGACGGGGACTCTCGAGACCCCCTGGGCAAGACGGGGGGCAGGGAGGTGCAGGGCCAGGCAGCCCGGTCAGCCTGTCTGCACCAGCACGTGGCTGGAGGTGCCGGAGCCGGGCCGCGCTGGCAGCCGGTACCCAGCCAAAGTCCTCGCCGATGCCAAGAGGATGGGGGATGGGGAGCCGGCCGCTAGGGCTTGGACCGCGTCTTTCTCGGGTGCCTGCGCGTCGGCCTGGGGGGCTGCAGGAAGCGGGGCAGGACGCTTTCTCTGCTGGGCTCCAGTGGCTGCTCTGTGGTTCGCCGGGGGAGAGACGTGCATCCGTACTGCAGCGCCGTCTACGCACCGACACGAGGCCCCGTCCAAGCCTCCCGCTTGCCCCGGAGGACACGGCCCTCGACGACCCCAGGCCCGCCGAGCACCAGCGTCGAGGGCTCGGAAAGGGAAGAGAACCGGCCTTGCGAGGACGAGCGGGGCAGCGACTCCCCGCCCCCGTGCCGCAGCACGTCACCGACCCACGGAGGAGCGCTGCCGTGCGTGGCGGGGCGGCCCCTGGCTGCTTCGGGGCCGGAGGGGCTGGCATCGGTCACCTGCACGCTGCGTCACGATGCTCTACAGCACCCACCTGCCCCAGAGGACAGCGGGCCGGGGAGGGCATTTAAAAGCAAGCAATTGCCCCTAACTATCTGCTATCCCAGACCCTCGTTTGGCAGCGCCCCGCTGTGCAATGGTGTCGGGGATGGGGCCATAGCGGTTACATGGCTCTCTCCCAGAAGGGATCCCCGGGGAGGGCCCGTGCCCTTCATACCCATTCTCCCTGGCACAGCCCTCCAGGAAAGCCAGCCCGCTGCAGCCCGCGATGCCTTGGCCTTTCCCGGAGGGCTCTCATCGGGGTCCCCCAGGCCCTTTGTCACGCGGGCACTTTCGGGGAGCCCCGAGCTGCCCTGGGGAGGACGAGCCCCGGCAGGTAGAAGAGGAGGGGCTGGCACGTCCGTGGCACCCCGAGTCTGCTCCCTTCCCCCATCCCCCCCCCGCTCTCCCTTTTCCTTCCATATTTCACAGTTCCTGCTTCCTGCACAAAGCCGGGGGTCTCCAGAGACTCCAGCCAGATGTTCTGTGCAGCACACCACATTGCTTTCCTAATGAAATATTCATGGAGTCTCTCTGCCTTTTGACATGAAAGCCTTCTGCAGCTTCCCCAGCCATGGAAACCAGCCCCGGGCGCGCCGCATTCCCATAAAGCCCCCGCTCCCCGCCCCAGCCCGCCACGCCGGCAGGGAGCCATGGCCCGCTCCTCGCCCGGGCACCGGCAGCCTGGCTGCAAGGTGCCCTTCCTGCCCGTGCTGGCGGGAAGGGGAGCTGAGTCCCTCCGCTGGACCGCCCCCCCGGCTGCTCTCCCCTTCCTCTCTTGTGCCCGATCCGTGCAGCTGGCGAAGGGGCTGGCGCTGTGCCGCCGTCCAGGACCAGGGTGCCCAATGCAGACCCTGGGGGCTGGTCAAAGCCAGGCCAGCTTCTTGGGTGGATAGAGCCCCCTTTTGTGCAGGACCAGGGTGTTTGCTTCCAGCCTGGAGGTCGGAGCCCGAGCTGGCTGCAGGACACGTGTTTCTGCACAGCATCACGTAGGTTATAGCCGTGTCGAAAGGCCCAGCCCAGACCGGGGCCTGGCGTGGAAACCCCTGGAGAACCCAATGTCTAACCAGGCAAGACAGAGGCCAGGATGCGGGGAAGGTCACGGTCACGGTCAAGGTCATGATGGACCTGCCTCCCACAGCATGCAGGTGCAGGTGGAGGGGTCCCTGCGTGCTCCCTGGACAGGGGCTAGCTTCCTGCAGCACCAGACCCGTCTGCAGCAGGTGAGGCTCAGCCCGTGTGCCCACCCGCGCAGCTTTCCATGCGCCCGGCGCAGGTCGCCACAGGTGCACCCAGCAGCCGGGCAGGGACCGGGGTTGCTGGTGAGCCTGCAGTGCTATCGGTGTCCCTGCCAGCTCCTGTTGGCTCCCTGCCTCCCTGGCCAGCGCTTCTCCATCCTCTTCCCAGCTGAGAGGTTTGCAACCCCTGCTGAAGCCGAAAGCTGATGGGCCAGTGACCTCCGTGCCCCGCGGGCCGGGCTTTCTCCCCTCTCCTAGTCCTGCTGTCACTCATCCCATCTCCCCTTGCATTGCTCCTTGTTAGCACATCCCTCCCCCGGCAATTAACGCCAGCTCTCCTGCTTCCCAGCTCTGCTCACAGCAGGGGTCTCGGCCAGGGACCTGCCGGGGTCAATTAAGAGCTGTGAATATTTCATGAGGGCAGAGATCCTGGGGCCTTGCACTTGTTGCTGTGGCGGCAGCTGGCTCGCCCCAGCCAGGACCAGGGGCCTGGAGGATGGTCTCCGGGGCAGGCGTCGGGCCTCGCCGAGCGTGGCGCGGGAGATCGCGCCCGGACACGTCGCGCTGCCTTCCCCTTCGCGTGGCAGCACAGCGCATGCCCGCGTCTCTGGAGCTATCCCAGGCCGGGCCCTGACTTCCAACTTGAGCCCAAAATCCGTGGGCAGGAAGAGAAAGGGAAGGGCGGCCCCTGCTCTCCACGGACCCTATTCATGAGTGGGAGCGAGGACAGGCGCGGGCCGTCGCGATGCTGCGGCTGCACGGGCCGGGCTACGAAGGCAACCCATAAGGCTCCACATTTGGGTGCGAAGCTCCATCATCTTCACCGAAGAAGAGAGACCAGACACGCTGGGTCCCGCAGGCCCTGCTCTCTCCACGTTAAGCCGTGGGATGCCCTCTCCCATGCTCAGCCATCTCCCATGGAGGGCCAGGCTCTGCCCTCCGAGCGGGTACCGAGGTGAGAATTCATCCCAGCAGTCGTGAAGGGGGACCTGAGGACCGTCCTGGGGGGACGGGGGTTTCCTTTCCCCACAGCGCAACCTCCCCACCTTTGCCCAGGCTGTCCCATATGGACTAAAGGGACACGAAACTACCCTGTTCTGCCCAGGCCTCCGGCTTATTTTGCAGCTCAGACCAGCCGAGTTTTGCCGCGGAGCTGGGAGCGATGTGAACGGCGTGGGATGCACGCAGGAGCACACACACAAGTACACACATGTGCACATGCTGAAAACCTGCCGTCTGCTCCCACCGCCCAGGCGTGGGATCTCCGCTGGTGCCCATGCATCGGTTACACTGGGGAACCGGTGTCAAAGGGCATGGGATCCCCGGAGCGGCTGGATTGCAGCACGGCGGAGATGCCCACTGGCCCCTTCTAGCCTGGGTGGGTCGTGGGCACACGTTCAGCTTGGAGGGGGACACTTAGCCTGTGGCACAGGCGCTGGGGGCCCCTCCTGGACTCCCCCACACTGCTGGGGTGGGGCTGGAGGGCTGGCCAGGCAGGGGCCGGGCCGGGCGCTCTTCCTCTCTGCTTGCTCGGAGACAATTACGTCCGACTCTGAAGGTGTTCGCCAGCGCGGAGGCGCCGCTCTGCGCTCTGCCTTGTACCTGTCACCACGGATAGATGGCTGCTAATGGCGCTGTAATTGCTGCTCCAGTTGCCCCGGTCTCACAGGCCGGGAATAATAACGAGATCCGGAGATGCGCAGGACGTGGGGAGGGGTCACGTGTGCCTAGCAGGGGCCGGCAGAGCCCCAGGAGCCGTGCCAGGGCCTGGCCAAGCTGCCACGCCACGCCACGCCACGCCACGCCACGCCACGCCACAGGCTCCTTCAGCTCCCCGCCACAGCCCCTTGCAAAGGAGGGCATGCTCCGGGGTACAGAAGGGGACGCTGCCCTGGCAATACGGGGGTATCGCCGCAGCTGGCTTTGCCCCACACGATGCCAGGGGCCTTGCAGCCTGTGAAAAATGCTGCACCCCGCCACCCCGTGCACCGCTCCCAGGTCAGAGCCGTCGCCCGTGAGCCACCTGGCGCCAGGAGAAACTACCTGCAGCTCAGCGCGCTAATAAGCTATGCAAATGAGCACCGGCCCAACGGGGGACCTGCCCGCACTTCCCGCTCCAGCGCCAGATTGGGAGGGAGGCGGGGGGCTGGTGGACCCGGGAGACGGACAGGATGGGACCACGCGTGGGATTCGCTCGCCGGGGCCGTGGCCCAGCAGTGCAGCCGCCACCGGGCCCTCCCCGCGCGGCTGGCGGAGTAATAAGCTATGCATGTAGTGTAGAAATAAAACATGTTCTGCAGAACAAATGATGTTAATTTGCTGAGAGGCTCTGAAGCTGAGTATTAGCGAAATGCCTTGGGGGAGAGAGCAGCAGCTGTGCTGGAATTAATGGCAGCGTGCCGAATTAGCACAGCCATGCATCATAGTCAGAGGGAAGAAAGGCTGGAGAGGTGGGGAAATTACCAACCCCCCCTACCCCCAGCCATACAGGGAGGGGGCTGCATCCAGGAAGCGGCCTGAGAGCGATAGGACCCCTGCCCCTAGCCCCCAGCTGCGTGTCCCGCACCTTGTGGCCTCGGACTTGGCACTACAGACCCCGGCGAGGCGCTGGCCGCTCCAATGCCCCGGGAACATGCAACCTGTCCCCGGTGCCACCCCGGGCCCCGGGCTCTACCTGCCGCTCCCGCCGTCTTCCCTGCCCACCTGCCGCCCCCCCTCTTCCTCCCTCTCTCTATTAATCTGCCCGTCTATTTATTTCTGCTATTTATTACCGGCTGTGGAGTGCCTAAAGTCTGCAGATCCTCATCGATTACTAACGGTGCAGCCGGCTGATTGATCTGCAGCCACCTCCAGCCCATCCATCTCCCCCCCTTGGCTTCCACCCGTCCGTCTGACAACGGCCCGCCCCGGGTAGCAGGAGCGCGCCGCGCGCTGCACGTCCCACCCTAATGGGCCCTTCCAGTAAAGCCCTCGCGGCTGATGAATATTTAACACGGCCCATCCGTCTAGGCCGGTGAGCCTCTGGTTCGCCTGCCCCTCGCTACCTTCGCCCTTGTTGCATCCCACCCACCGGGCGCTGGTGACACAAGCATCAGCCGCGGGCAGGCTTCTTCCTTCCCACGGATGTTCCCCCGTAGCATGGCCTGGCGGCTGCTGGCTGCACCCCAGAGGCAGCTGCATTTTGGGTGTGGTGGATCATCTCTCTGGCCATCCAGTTCTGGGATCCTGGGTGAAAATGCGATGGTGTATAGATGGGAAGGGACGGGCCAAGTCCACCGCTTGCCATCGCAGTGCATCAGATGATCAGGGCAGGCCGCCTGGTCTGACACTGCCCACGGGATCCTCCCTGGCCCCGCCGGGGCACAGCTTTCACAGAGCCGGCCTTGCTCGCTCCCCTCCGCGTTCGGCGCGTGCTGCTCGCGTGCGTTGGTTAGCTGCAGCTCCAGGCTTGCAGCCTCCTGACCCATAACTGCTTGGTGTCCCCTGCAGATGCAGCCCGAACCCTGCAAGGATCCTGCTCGTCGCCGGACTCGCGTGCTGAGGGCCCCACGTCCCCGGAGAGGAGAAAGCAAAGCCCAGCTTGGAACGGTTCCCGGGGCCCGCGTGAGAGCTGCACCTTCCAGCGGGCGCACGCAAGCCTGAACCGCGTCAGCATCCAGAGTTTGCAGACGCTGCTTGGGGTCCCCGGAAAGAGCCGTGGCTTTTTCCTCTCGTGTGGAGATACGGGGGGCTGCCACGATGGATGTGTCACGGGAGCCTCTTTGCACCCCCAGCATGTGCGGGGCTCCAGGACACTGGCTCCTAGGCAGGTGCGAGCGCACGGCTCGCTGGGAGCTGAGTCAGCCCGGGAGGGGAGACGCAGGAGGCTCTGACCTTGCCGGGACACGAGAACTTGGCTCGTGCACCGGTGTTTGCGTGGAAAGAAGGATGCAGAACGTCTCGGGAGCGGGTGCATCACATCCACACCAGCCCCTTGTCCATCCCTGGGGAAAGCCGGGATGGCCGGCGGTTTGCGCGGAGCTTTACAAAGTGCGCGTGTCCCACGGCGAGGAGCGGGACGCCGGGCCGGACACTCTGCCAGGCGGGGGGGGCTCGGCTTCGGAGACGGGGCCCGCAGGTCCACAGCCAGAGTTAGACGGCGAGAGGGACCTCATCGGGCTCCAGGAGATGGAGCACAGCGGGGCCCGGGCAGAGAGCGGGGCCTGACGATGTTGGAGGCACCAACCCCGAAGTCACAGGCTCGGTGGAGGAGACCGATTTGGGGAGGTGGCCCCTGAATCCCATCCGCCAGCTTCCAGCGTCTCTCCTCTGGGCCAGGCCTTCCCTGGCCACCTCCACCCTTATCCCAGTCCAGTGCAATAGGATGACCACCCTGGTTGCCATCCCAAGGGATGTCTCACGGCTGGTCCCAGCCCGGAAAAACCCCAGAGGCTCCTGCAGACAAAGCCAAAGCTGGCCGGACAGGCAGACGTACGCCGGGCAGACGTCCTGGGCCGGGATCGAGCGACCCCCGCCCAGGGCCCTCGTGTCAGATGCTGCCCCCATTGCCACGGCAAGGCTGAGAGCGTCTTGCAGCCCCGCTCAGGCTGCGGGAAGCTGTTTTGGTGAGGAAGGCGAGCGTGCACGCATGTGTGCACGCATGGACATGTGGTGGGGTGCCCAGAGCCTGCCCCCGCTCCACCCCGGCCCATGGCACGGGGTCCGTGTGCCCCGTGTGCCATCTCCGGGCTGGTCACTGGCAGGTTACATCTGCTGGGGCACGCAAGAGCGATTCCAGATGCAGCCAAAGTGCCGTGCTCGAATTTCAATTTCATCGTCTCACAATCATTTCCAGCCTCCTCTTAGTGCCACATTAACGAAGCCTGCTCGTTTGAATGCATAATTAGCCCGAGCATTCTACCTCGCTAATTTTGAAGCAGGAGAAGAGAGTGGAAGGGGGGGGGGGGCTGGAATTTGCATATTAATTTAGCAGAGGGAGAGAAAAATTGTTTACCACTTGCTTCTTGCTGTTGATCACAGCGGACTTAACTCTTTCACGGATGCCATCTGGAGCGGCAGGGCCCAAGGGCGGGCAGGCGGGCACTGAGCAGGTCCACGCTGCAGCCCAGCACGGGATCGGCGGACCCCCCCTCCATACGGGGATGCCCTCCTTCCAGTCCCTACCAGCAGCTTCTGCCAGGCCAAGCTGCCCTGTCCAGGGGGCAAAGAGGAAGGCAGTGGGGGAGAGAGTCGGCGGAGAGCTGGGGGAGGGTGTGAGGGTTGGGGCACCCTCTCCATCACCTCCTGGGATCCGAACCAGCTCTGCCCAGTCACCCGCCAACTCCACAGGGGGTTTCTGCCACCCCTTAGATGAACACGGTCAGGACTGACCAAAGCCCAAGGCATCCGTGGGGTGGGCATGGGATGGGGGCAGTGCCAGGCTGGGAGCAGCTCTGGGTGCGTCTGCAGCTCCTGCCCAGATCTGCTCCCACGTGGGGTGATGCCGTGAAGGCCTGAACGCCAACACAGCCGTGGGGAGGAGATGGCCAGGAGGTCTGGGCCCCTTTCTGGCTGCTCTGGGGATGCAGAGCCACTGTGCAGGGCCGACGCACCAGCGTGGCTGCGCTTGGGGGGAGAGTGGCTGCGTGGGCGCTGCGTGCACCATGCAACACGTCCCGGGGATGGGGGCTTCTCTTGGAGGAAGGCTGCAGTCTGCAGCAGGCCCCAGCAAATCCTGGCTGTTACGACCTGCAGAGACCCCCACCCACAGTGGCAAGGATGGCGCGGGTGCCGGGTGAGCCCCACCCTCTTGGCATGGGGCCTTTCCTTGCAGGGTGCTGCGGCCCTTTCGCTCTCCCAGCTGCTCGGACTTAGCCCTTGCCGGTTCCTGCTCCGGCCAGTGCTGGTGTCTCTGCTCTGCTCTGCTCTGCTCCAAGTGCGATCGCACGTGCTGGGAACAGGGGAGCAAATGGGGACAAGAGACCCAGATCCTAGCCAGCCTCGCCTTGCCTGGGCCACCAACTGAGCCCCCACTTCTGGGAGCCAGCTGGACGTGGGGACCAAATGCCACCCCGCTACTTTCTCAGTAGTGACCAGGGGAGAGGAGCTGGGGTCCCACATGGGGCTGGCTGGGACCTGCCTTCTCCCCCACCCTGCCTCAGGCCTTCCCATGGATCTCTGTCGCACCCCCTGCTCCTTAGGCAGGGCTGATGCTGCCTTGAGCAGATGTCACCTTGGGACGTCCCTTCCAGCCTGACTTTCCTATGATCCTATGCACAGGCACACTCACACGTGCTTGCACATGCAAGCACATGCACGCTTGCACAGACACACACTCACACACACACGCATGCTTGCACAGACACTCCTCCATATGCGCGCCCACATGCAGCGCGTAGGAAGGGCCGAGGGCCCTAGTGTGTGCCCACAGCGCCCTGCAGACAGCAGCAGGGGGGACGCTCTTCCTCGGGGAGCACGCCAGCAGCGAGGCAGGCACCGCGGGCGCTGCCGCGGCACTCGGGGAAGGAGCAGGAGCAGAGCAGCCTGCTGCCAAGACCCCCCGTGCCTCCGGCTCAGCCGAGCGAGCCGCGCCGACTCCCTTTGTCTGGAATCCATGGGCGTCACGAGCGGGGCTCGGCGGTAATTTGTCTGTCTCCTGCAGCTGGCTGTCACGGCACATCTGCGCGCCGCCGGCATGGCAGCCCAGGTCTGACAGGTAGCAGCAAAGCGCAGCCACCAGCCGCCCGTGCTCCCAGGGGCTGGGCCAGGGAGGGCCAGGGCTGCCCCCAGAGGTGCTGGGGATGCACGAGGAGAGCCAAGAGGGGAGGCAGCTTCCTCCCAGCAGCAAGCCAGACCCACTGCTCCTTCCCTCCCTGCTCACACCGGTCCTCCGGGCACCCACGCTGCTACTGGGTTAACAACCCACTTGCCCTTTGCAGCACAGCACTTGCTGGGCAGCTCTGCCCGGGCTTCTTTGTGGTTTTAGCGATGCTGCCAGGCCGAACGGGGCACATATACCAGGCACAATGTACACGCAGCAGCTCCCGAGGTCAGCACGGCCGTGCCGGAGTCCTGTCTACACTAGGGCTCCCATCTTGCCGTGAGACAGCAATGGTTGGAGGCTCCCCATAAAGAGACATGAGGCCTTGCTCCTTAATCTGGCAGTAGCCCTGAATGCAATCATAGCCCAACCCCACTAGCCGGCAGCAGGGACTAGGATGTGAGCAGCCCTGCAAAGAGCCTGCTGGAGTGGTCCCTCCCTTAAAATGCCTGCCTCTGGGACAGACAGCGGCCGCTGGAGTGCTCCCCTCCCCATGGCTAGCTCACAGCCGCGGGTGTGCAGGGCAGTGAGTACCACGCGGCCAGCTGAGACGGTGCCCCCACCCCAGCACAAGGGGGACCCTACAGAGCAGCACATCCTAGTTGCTTTGGGGAGGGGGGAACTAGTCGGCAGGCAGCTTCGGGGCATCAGACCACGGCCCTTGCGAGGGAATCTGGCTCCAACAGCAGAGATGCAGCCGTGGTCGACATGCACCTAACACGCGTGTCTGCCACGGAGATCCACGGCGATGGCGGGGCAGCCCTCCCCGGGGCGGAAACCGCTGCGGGAAGCACTGTTCTCCTCTCCGTGGCGGAGGGGGGCGCAGACGGTGCAGGTGGAGGCCATGGGGCCGTACTCAAAAAAGCAGGATGAAGCTACCCACGCTGTGCCCAGCTCCAGCCCTGCCAGGCTGCGAGCCCAGCTCTCAGAGACGAACCCCCTCCCACGGGCTTGCCCTCCTACCCCGGAGGGGGAGAGCGCCAGGGATGGGTTTTCAGTGGTCTTGGATGCCGTGATGGAGGGGAGCACAGCTGAATTCAGTGCAGGCAGCACCGAACTGGGAAGCTGCAGAAACCAGGCTGTTTCCAGTCCAGTGTGAGATGCTGGGAAAACTGGACCCGTGAGAGCAGCTCTTCAATCAAACCATGTCTTGCTCCACCTCTCTGAAGCCCGTCGGGTTCTCGAGATACCTCTTGCCAGGGCTATGTGGCCCACACTTGGGCAGGGATGAGCTCCCTGCAAAGGAAATGCGTGAACCAGAGCTACATGGAGGACATGGGAGGCACAGACAGGGCCCCCCAGTTGCAAGGACACCCCTCCGCCCAGCACGGGGCTTGCACAGCTCCAGACACGCAGCCGCTGTCCTCCAAGAGCCATCGCGCAGACTCGGCCTGCCAGCGCCGGGCTGGAGCAGCCGGCCGTGGGCTGGCAGGGACACCTCCAGGGCCCTCCACGGAGCGGGGAGAGCCGCGGGCACCGCGGCGCGTGTCCCTGCAGCAGCCGGGAAGGCCTCCTCCGCCTGCCGTACGTGGTGCCACGCGGAGGGGCTCGGCCCGCAGAGGGTTAACAGCTGATTACAGCCTTTGTCTCTGCATCAGTGTACATAATGCGCTCCTCATTTGCATACTGCAGTGTGCGCTCA